CAAAAAAAGGCAAAATAAAAACTGGAAGCAAAGCAATTTGTTTGCTTTTCTGCAAACAAATTGTATCTGCAAGAACAGTTGAAAAAAAATCTGCTTTCTAGTACTGCCAAACTCTCCAAGTCTCTTAATTCAAGCATTATTTGCATGCATTTGGTGATAAATAGGCCCTGAAACTTTGACATCTGTGGAAGCAGGAAGCAATCCAAGCACAGCAGGCTGGAGTAGTTATAATATTTATGTATTTATAATACCAAAGTTCTGCTCATAATCAGATATAAGGCAGGAAGACTCTGATATGTTGCCTTAGTCTCAAAAATACCTTATTCATTAGACATCTTAAGACCTTCAGAAGTACACTGACCACACAGACTCCAGCACAGATCCAGAAACTACGTGCTTWCATTCAAAGACCATCAAATAAGAGATACCATCATTTTCTTGTAATGACAGTACAGGAATAGAACACTCATTGAGCAAATATAATAATACTGGAGATTAGGTTTATTAACATTACCCTGAGAGGGTTCAAACCACAGTCTGCACTTCTCGAGCATGGGCCCTTACTACTGGGCTGGGAGCTATTCTTTCTGGAGTTCATTTGCAAGGAACACTGTAAGGATACGAACACCAATGACTGAGAGGCCTCAGCTACTTTGGAAATGCCAGTGTAACAAGCAGGAGAGGGAAGCAGACAACTTTGCTGCCTGGATTTTTTWATTTTTTTGGTTACTCTGGTTTCTTTTCTTTAAACAATCAAGCCCTTCACACACATTTTTATTAGTATAGTATCTTCACTATTTACCCTATCCCYATGTGAATGAATAGTCTAGCTCTACTAAAATAAAAATATAAAACACTGAAAGAGGCTTTCCTATAAGCTCTAATGAAGTGAACAATTTCCACATGAAATGCAAACGTGTGAGTAAACAAAGAATGAAATTCAGAACTTGAAAAAAACATGAAGGCACTAGTAGATGGTATAAAAGGGAAAGAAAATAAGAAACAATGTTAGACTGATAATACTCTGGTATGGAACTGTGATACCTAAGCAGTAAGAATAATCTAAAGCTGATACAAGTTATGTCTTTTTCATTTTTTAAGATTTAAAGAAAGTTCCAGGTAACATACCTCCAGATATAGCAAAACTTGATCTGTCCAACAACAAAATCAGACAGCTACGMGCCAAGGAGTTTGAAGATGTCAGTGAACTGAAGATATTAAATCTAAACAGTAATGGAATAGCTTACATTGATCCTGGTAAGAGGAATTTTAAATATTCACTTAAAAATTATATATATTTTATTAATTATAGACTTTCATAATGTCTCTATCAGATATAAACCTGGGCAAGGAAAAAAATTTAAAATCTAGAAGTTGGTGCAAATTTTATCTTTTGCATCATCCAATTCATGGAGTAAAGATTTTCACTGAAATATATTCATCATGAAAGTCAATAAAGACACAGTTGCCCTTTCTTAATACTAAACTAGTCAAGTGCAAAAGGTAATGGAACCTGAAGGCTAACAGTTTCCAGCTTGCTAAGTAGTGGAATGATTTTTTTAAAGTATTTTTGCTGCATCTAAGAAAGCGTTTCATATAATGATGCTACTTTTCAATTATATTGGACCATAAMATAACAGAAAAACCAAAAGATTTAAACTCTTTTTGGTTAAAAACCACCACATATAATTGCTTTTAAATTATATTTTATTGGAGCTCAAGCACCCTKTTTGGCAATTTGCCTATAGCCTGTGTGTGCTTATGTTTTTATTATGAAAGCAGACACAAGCTGGGAGAGAGAGAGAGAGTGTGTATCAAGCAAAAATAGCCTTATCTAGTACCATCTAGGCAATTAAATAGCATCAGAAAGTGGTAATATCAGTAAAATGTACTTATGAGGTTTAACATCACACAGTTGATTTATTTAATTATGACTTCTGCCATAAAATGAAACAGTAGCCTTGCAAAAAGTATGAACTGCTCTCTGAAATGTAACTCACAAGCATTATTATGAAGCTCCATGTTTACTCCATTCCAAACCTTAAAATATTAATTAAAATGTTCTATATATGCACACAAATACTTCCACACACACGAAAGCTTCTGGCCCGGCACATTATCTARTAGTAAGTCTCCACATTCCTATTTTTGTATCATGACATTAACAGTAGAATTCAAGGAGCAGATCAGGCATTCATCCACCTCCACTGTCTCTATTCTACACTCAGGCAGAATCATGAACTGTTTTATAGCTTTACCAGCAGTACAACTCCCCTAATATTTCTCACTTCTGAAGGTGCATGCCATATTTTAAAGTTCAATGTCTGAGAAGTCCTTTTATAGCCTTTAGCCAAAAAGAGCAGTAACTGTATAATTACAAAAATGTTTTTTCACTTGTAGATATGCATATTTTTCCTGTCACAGATATGAATGTTTTTTTCTAAGTTATCTTTATAAGGTACAAATAACAATTTTTCTATTGCCTAGCTGCTTTCTCAGGCCTAAATAACTTAGAGGAGCTGGATCTATCAAACAACAGCTTGCAGAATTTTGAATATGGAGTACTGGAAGATCTTTACTTTCTGAAAATACTGTGGCTGAGAGAGAATCCTTGGAGATGTGATTACAATATTCATTATCTTTTCTACTGGCTGAAGCATCACTACAATGTTCACTACAATGGCCTAGAATGCAAAACACCTGAGGAATACAAAGGATGGTCTGTTGGAAAATATGTTCGAAGTTATTATGAGGAGTGCCCAAAAGACAAGCTTCCCATTTATCCAGAAACTTTTGACCTGGACAAAGATGATGAGGAATGGGAACGACACAAAGAGCAAACAGTCCAAACAGTAAAGAAGCACGGTGTAATTGTCACTGTGATAGGCTAATAAGGGAACTCTTTTCCTTAGTACATTGAAATAATTGATATTTTAAAAAAGAAAAACTTGCTGTTTACATTTTTTTTCTAATTATACTGTTGGTTTGTAGGATTATCTGCCTACAAAGGTGCCTGTTTATTGCAGATAATAACTACAGAATTACATTAGTTCTACAGCGTCCTTCATCTAGTAATTGTTTTCCACAATTTGTTCTGGACACTCTTGTGAAATATTTTGGCAAATCTCTGAAACCATGCAGCAGAAATCAATAGAAACAAATGTACATAATATGGTGGGGAGGAGCTTTCTTATGTATGGACACAGTTTGTGTTCACACAGAAATAGCTGCAGGATTGTGACCAAGACACATTTTTCTTGAATGTATTGATGGTTCTTTGTATCTATCAGTTTCCTGAAATAGTCCCAGAAAACATTTTTAAGATTTTTGTATTGATTTTGTGTTGTTTTATTGTAGACCAAAAAATCAAACTTAAGACTAATCTCAAATACAGGGCTAGAAAAAAAGGAATGGCAGTTGTTACACTAATAAGGATTCAAACACAGAAGGGGGGTTCTACTTGCWGATTTACCACTGTTCCAGCTTGGGTGAATAACTCAGCCTCTGCCTCTTCCATAGCTGAGGTGCCTTAAAACCGTGAGTAATCAAGGCACAGTTGCTTCCCAGGATGCAGCTCCGTATGCTTATAATTGCTTTGCTTGGTTTTGGAGGTAGGCAGAACTGAAATCTTTCTAGGAAGAATTTTAGGTTGTTGTATCAGTTTGACACAGATCACATGCCATCACTTCCAGGTGACAAGGATCACGTGAAGGATGCTGTGGTCTGCATCCAGCACATCAGTGCCTGCCCAAACTGAAGATAAGCATGCTTTTGAGAGCTCAKATGTGTGGGACATTCTCTGAGTTCACTCCTCACAACTCATTATCCCCTCCTTATCAAACAAGTGTYTATGTGGATATACATTGACTAAAACCTGTGATCATCCTAATATGACAGTAACAGAGCAGTACAAATGCCTCAGCTAAGTAGATGATATTTCTAAAGAAAAAATTCCTGGCTAATATACTTAGATCACTAAGAAATGTGTAAGTGCAGGGTAGAAATTCAGGGCCAAAACTTTAAATTTCTCTTAGCTCTCATGGAAGAAGTYCTGGAAAACTCCAGGGAGAAAGTTTGTTCCTGTGAGGATCTGGAGRTACTTATGGGTTTTGTGCATTCCCCTGGTGCTTTAACCATGAGTCCCAAAGGTCGTGCGATTCGTTTTATATGTGCAAGACAAAGCATTCAGTGTTTTTCTGCTGACATGAAATATAAGAACCACATAAAGGAAAAAATCAGGAGATATTAAGGGTCCTAGGAATGCCAAAAAATCTCAAAGCGAACATATCCCATTATTAATTGCATTCTGTTGTGTCCTCCATTATTAAGATTATGAAGATATTTCATGGTGCTTTGCTGATAAACTGGATACTTTAGCCATTTCTTCCACAACATCCTTCAAAAACCTTATAGCAAAAATACAGTGGTATCTGACTCATCCCTATTCCTGGAAATATCTTAAGCATTRTCTTAACTGTTAAAGGTTAATTCTGAAAAGATGAAACAGAGAGGAAAACCCTATTTGCCAGTAATATTCACTGCCASGCATATTCTGGAAACTTAAAAGTACTAAAAGTAAAAAAAATTCTGTCACAAATAGCAACAATAATTAAGTGAAGTAGTCCGGCTCCTCTCAAATCATGGAGGATTATTTCAATGCAGAACTACCGGGTATGATTGGAAAGGATAGACAATGAAACCACAGCAGCACATCTGTTATTGGCAGCACAGCCACTGGTGAAAATCTGAGCAGGAAAAAATGCATTTATAAACCACATTATGTTAATTTCTGCAAAGAGTCAGTGTTAGGAAAAAAATACTGGCTTAAAGCAGGCTAAATCTGTGTGGAAAAGACAATCCAGGAAAAGAATATAAGACAAAATCTGCATCAGAGGTCTCTAATCTCTCGGGTCAGCAAAAAGTACCAATTGGAAAAGCAGCGGAATAAAACCGCAGACCACAAGCAGACTATTCTTGCTCAATAACCCTGGGGATTCCCAAACAGATCATGAATTCACCTCTTAGGACCAAGGCTAAAACCAGTGATAAATACGATGATTGTTCAGTAGAAGCCAGAGTTAAGGAAGCRGGGCTGATCATTCAGGATTTCAAACAGCGGCATCAGAAAGTGCTGCACCCACTGAAGGTTCATGAGGGATAACGAGCTGAACATCCTGGCTGTGTCTAACAGMACAAGATGTTTGGCCACAGCTGTTAAGCAAGATCTCTAAGTGAGGGAGGGACATATTAACAAGGAGCATGGTTCAACAACTATCTGCCAAATAAAGGTTTCAATGTGACCTTGTGGAATCAGTGTCAGCACAGAAGTTCCACGAAAGGAACCCTTGCGCAATAAAATCAAATTAAATTCAGTACTTAAGAGAAGGACTGATTAGTCATCTGGAATCAACAAATGGAAAGATTTCTAGTGAAGAATGGTCGGAAGTTTCGAATGCTGGAATTGCCCTTGATACTATTTTCCTTAGATAGCCTTTGGAGCTTTCAAGGAGTGGCCAGAAATTCTTTTATTTTAACTACAATGCACTATAATTTTATTCCTTACTGTTACAGTCATTGCATAATTCTTTATTTTTTCAATTATACTAGCGAGTTATTTCAAAATAGTCACAGAAATATTCAAGTGATGGGGTTTTTTTCCTGTCATTTAAAAAAACACAAAAGTGTGTGTGCCTGGGGGAAACGCCATGAAAAACTAGCTGGGATACATTAGGGTTTTCTGCATGTTGGCATTTGCAGACACCCCAATGAGCCAGTGGCAGAACAGACAGTAATTGCAACTACAAATAATGTAAGAACACAACAATGGAAATAGTAGGTTGGGCCAAGGATAATATAGGTTAGCATGATCTCTTGACAGTGACTAGTAGAAAATTCTTTGAGAAAAGACTGTATGAACAGAAAAAGCACRCAGGAGTCATGAAGATAGTGCAGAAGGATGTAGCACAAGGAAAAGGACAATCATAAAGGTCCCAGATGAACTTCCACGTCTAAAAGGAAATCATGGGCTTTTCTCTTCCTGTAGAAGCTCTTTAAGTCTCTTCTTTCAGTAACTCCTTTGTTGATTCCCCTTCTTTCTCTGTCCTAGCCAGGAAACAATTACATGAAGACAACTGCCCTGTCTTCCTAAAATGCAGTGCATGTCCTAGGAGTGTTGCCTTAAGGGACAAACTACAGTGCTCTGCAGAGGCAGAGACCCCTTCTCTCCACAGTCACATGAAAGACAGAAAAGATTATTTTGCACCATGTTTTGCCATGACAGAATGCAGGAAAAATGAATATGTCTGTCAATACTATGACCACTACTGGAAATAWAACACTTCAACAGCTTCTGGGGAAAACTTAGCTCCTGCACTATGAATATGAATGGCAGCATTTAAATGCAGTTCCCTGTCACACATGGAAGACAAATAATTCTCCAAGATCACTGAGTAGATGGAGGAAAACCACAAACAGCTGAGCTATAACCCATGCACCTCATACACTCACTTTCTCTGGCACGGTAATGCACTGAATTGCCAAAGACAGTCTGAGCTGGAATCAAAATTAACATTCACATGCAGATATTAAACAAAGACTACTATTTCATAAATGCACCACAGGCCAAAGTTAGAGTACAAAACCCCATTTTTTTAAAATTGCAGATAATTAATTGATAAGAAAACCTCTCACAAACATGTTTAGCCAGCTGAACAGACCTAACCCACAGTTAATACAATTTCTGTTTTAACTTTAACAATAGAAAACATGCTGCCAAAATCTGTGTAATCTTGGATTTGTTTGGAAAGATGAGGTCAGAACTGTAGCTTGGGTAAGTTCGAATGGAARGGTTTGTCACATCTGTAACCTATAATTGAACAGACAGTTCAACTGAGTTTGTTAGCTGAAAAAATGTCAAAGAATCTCAATATGATTTTCAGTCTCTAAAAGAAGAAAAAAATAGTTTTGCAGCAACATTAAACCATCCACAAGAGCTTCAAAAGAATGGCACAAATAGGCTATATGATAAATATCAATGAGTTTCAACATAAAAATAAATGTAATAATCTAAATATCAATAGTACACTGATTTAAATATGTTTCCTGCTTAAAAAAAACTATTGTGTATCTTCAAAGCTAGAAGAAAATGCTTTMTAAATCAATGTTTTCTAAAAGCCTCTGTAGACTGTCATATATGATTCATCACAACTAGCTTAAAATAGCACTGAATAGATGTAAATAGGCACAATGTTTGATTTCAAGCCTACAGAAAACATTAATSATCAACAAAAATGGAAAATGCAAAGTTTATAGAGACGTAAATTGAATATAATGTCTTTGATATGGAAGATAAGGGAAAATGAATGGCAATCAACATACTGATATTCCAACTGATATAATCAACACTAGATATGAATCAGTTAAATAACGTGACAGAAAAGGCATTTTATATCTAAGATGTAATCCTACCACAACTGTTCTTCACACATTTCAMGCTCAAAACAACAGAAACATTACCATGATTTTAGTTTTCTATTCATATACATAAGGAAAACAAAATCATAGAAGGATTTAACATTTCCTAAGTACAACACCCATAACAGAGGCGACATGGCTGTGTATGATTTATTTTGGCTTGCTTTCTCTATTAGCTGCTAAAGTTCATTATGATACTGGATTAARTTCTGTCACTAAAAAATTTGCATGCTGATATCGTTGAGAATGTTAATTTATCCTGTGATATAAAAGCCAAAACCATGACCAAAATACTTTTTTATTCTTGGCCAGTTKTTCTTTTCCATCACCAATCTAGAGAGTAAATTGTTTTCACCCATAATCACACAGTAATTTTCTAAAACAAAAGAAATCACTCTGAAATTGTTATAGGCTTCATCAACAATTTCAATCATGTATTGTCTGATTAAATAATAAAATGCATTATAGTCTCAAAACATCAAAATACACTTTTTAATTTTGAAAATAAAAACATTTTCCTTTTCTTTTTATGCATTTGAATTTAATTAAAGTGTAGGCTAGAAAAGAGGCAATCAGTAACATTTTCCTGCTTCAGAAATACTGTGCCARGAATCAAAAAYGTTTCTTGGGATCTCGCCTAGTCGTAGCAGAGTTAGTTTTTTTCCCATGAAAACACTTCCAAGATGTCTTCAGACTCTTTATGATAAAATGGATGAGTAACAGTTGGGATGCAGGTGATTCCTAATGAATCAAGTACTGAACGTCTCACACTGATAATAAAAGCTTTTCGTTTTCGTGACCACTTCTCTGCTTAGTGGAGCATACAACCACTTTAAGAAAAATATTACAGACCTCAAACTATTGCAAAATGCTGTCACAAAGGGAATTAACCTCCAAACACTCAAGTCACATGTACTTCCACRCATAGAATCAAGAAGAACCGAGATGCTTCTTACACCCAGAGGGACTCTGATTTGGCAGTAGAATCAAGTACCAATTATTTGYGAAACCACATTAATATCTTGAACCACACTTAGATTTTGAGGGGGTTTTGCTTGTTTTCTTGTTGTTTTTTTTTGTAGTTTTGCTTGTTTTGTTTTGTTTCGTCAGTGAACCTCTTGTTGGAGGCCAGTAACTAACAGCATAGCCCAGGGGACTACACAGGTTGAGTCCTGTTTAAAACCTTCATTAACTACCTGGAAAATGAGAAAGAGGACACACTCAGCAAGTGTGCAGATGACACCAAACTGGGAGCAGTGTCTGATACACCAGAGGATCATGCTGCCATCCAGAGGCACYTTGACAGGCAGGACAAAGGGGTTGACAGGAATCCTGTGAAGTTCAACAAGTGGAAGTGCAAAATCCTGCACCTACTGAGTGACAAGTCCGGGCACCAGAACATATTGGGGACAGCCTAGCTTGAAAAMCAGCTGTCAGACAAGGACCTRGRGGTCCCAGTAAACACCAGGYTGAACCAGAGCCTGTGATGTGGCCTTGCCACGAAGAAGACAAGGTGGTATCCTGGGCTGCATTAGGAGTGYTGCCAAGARATCCAGAGGAGACCTTTCCCCTCAGCATTCATGAGGCCACACCCAGAGTATTGCACCAAGTTCTGGGCTTCCCAGTACCTGAGAGACATGGACACGTTGGAGAGTCCAACAACGGGCAAAAKGATGATGAAGGAATTGGAGCATGTTCCCTGCAAGGGAAGGCTGAGAGCTGKGACTGCTCATTTGGAGAAGGCTCAGGGGGCTCCCAGTAAGGGATACAAACACATGATGGGAGCTGGGCTCTTTCAGAGTGGAACAGTGACAGAGGAGACAAAAAGCAACAGGCACACATTGAAACAGAGGTGCTGTCTGAACACCAGGGAACATTTTCATACCACGAGAGTGGCTGAGCACAGGTAACCCAGGGAGATTGTGGAGTYTCTATCCTTCAGAGATATTTATTCAAAAGCCATCCAGGGCAAACCTGTGTTTGCTCTGAGCATTCAGACTGTGGAAAATAAAGCCTGTCTGGACTTTTACAAAGTTCTGAAACTTATGATTAGCAGCCTTTATTATTTCTGGCACTGTAGATGATGTTTGGTGAYGGATCAATTCAAAATTAAGGGGTATTTAGGAAATACCATTATTAGCACACTATCATTTATTGCAGCTTTCTGTTCTACTTCTGTGCAAAAACAAATCTGTTCGTTTTTACTTATGACTGGACAAGATCTGTCCCCAGGGCCAGCTGGAAACCATTTGCTTTGTAAATTACAGTTTCCTAAAAAAGGTCAGTGGTATCACAGTATCCTGAGGTTGAGTTATTGACAGAAAATGATTGCTTTAAAGGTGGCTGCTGTGGTCTTGACACTGACTTTTAAATTAGGTGGAGTTTTGGAGTCAAGGAAATGATCCACATGTCCAAATTAAACATATACTTGGTAGCAATTATAAATGGAACRTGCCACTGTTCCAGTCCATCTTCTGTGATAATTAAAGAAAACTCTTAGCTGAGACAACTTTAGAAAGGCTGCACTGAAGAAAAAAAAGGAATAATCTTCCATGTCCCTGTTGTATAAGACAATAGGATATTTTTAAAAGTAATCAGTTACTTTTGGGGGGGACCGTTTGCAAGAAAGGCTATTGCGTTAGGAAAATATTTGTAGTCAAAAAGGTTATGAAATACTGGAATAAACTGCCTGCMAAGTTTGGCATGTGTCCAACACCTGTGATTTTTAAGACGACTAAAACCAACCCAGACAAATGTTCAYCAAGGTTAACCACAGCACAGATTCAAAACATTCACCTCCCATCCAATTCTGTGATTCATAGTAAAGATTTACACCAGTGTTACTAACAGAGTTGTACCTCCTATATAAGAGGCACTGTATGCTTTTAAAAAAAATAGCCTACCTTATCTAATACTAAATGGAAGATCATMAAATTTTACATGCATCATAAAGAAATTAGTGGACATGTCACTTTATTGTGATTATTATATTTTAAAACGTATATGTTTAACCCCCATTTTTCAAAAGAAAATTTAATTACATGAAGTATGAGCTACCTAATCCCAAGCACACAGAAAACTAAAGAAAGAGGGTAAGAGAACACAGATTGTTTGCTTTCAGACCGAAATGCAAACTGTCCTTTTATTCCTGGGTATACCACCATATTTCTCACAAATAGAGCTCATTAAAGCACAGAAATGTCAGGTCTGGGACAGGCAGAAACTCAGAACGGACTAGTTTTAACACAGAATAGCATTAGAGAAAATGAATCCCAAATCTAAGTTTGTAATCTCTCTTTAAAATGAAAACTTTTTCCTCCCACAGAGGAACAACAYAAATATTGCTTTGGTAAAAGACTTTTCCTATGATGATCCTGAGGTAGGTGTATAATACATATAATTACCCAAAGTAAAGCTTCATTAAGTAAAAGTTTCATTCTTTGGCACATAATTCTTCAGTCATCTGAGAAAAAAAATTCTGACAGTAAAGTACACAAAGTAGTGCAGTTTTATAAATATTTTTAGTCACACAAAAAAATTAAATCTTGTCTTTTCCATGTTGATTGGTGCAAATTAAAGGCTCTAATTTAAASTGATGAACATTCAAGTGTAATTTTCTGTGTATAGTTTGAAGTACTTCACTATCAAATGACATTTCTACTTTTTACACAGAAAGGTTAAAGAAAGGATAGATTAGCATACAAACCAGAACTAGTTTGTATGCTTGAAGGAAAGCTCAATAACTGCAGTTCAGGCTTTCATCCCTCATATCCACTCTTCTATTGATCAGCTGTATTCAGCTATTTAACATATTAAACAAATACTTTAGTTAGTCTTCGCAAAAATTGTTTCATGTGTCAGGCATTTACCACATGATTCTAACTGGTAGTTTAATAAATTATCTGTACTTCTACAAAACCAAAACTTAGTAAGACCACGGGCTAAGAATATCACTGCAAAAGAAATAAAGTATAAATACCAGTTAGTCTCAGAAAATATTGGGGTTTATCTCAGGTATTTCTTTTACTCCTGAGAAAGTCTATAAGAGAGTTTGACTGCCACAAATTTGTATATGTATATATGTACTGTATAAATCAACCATTCCAACTTTGGACTGATTTGAATATTAATGGAATAGTTAGCAAAAGAGGAAACAGCTGAAATGCAGTTACTGTGAACTCAGGACAGATGAACTAACAGAAGACAAAATTGAGTACAGTTATACAGAGATAATTAAGAGAAAAATCCGGTCACAATGCATGCCAACTCACTGACTCAATTGTTTAGTGAGTGAATCCAAAGATTAAGGATTTATTATTCACATCCTATTGAAAACTTCAACCAGATCTTTGCACAGAATATTAAAGCAAGAAATATCACATCATTTTCTAGGATTTCAGTGTAAACAAAGTAAAATCCTTATTTCTTTTTATCTCATGCTGTGCTGTCTTCATTTAAAAGGGGAAAAAACCATACAGAGAACAGAAAAGAATGAGAAATACTACAGTTAATGATGCAGTGCTTGAAGGCCACATGCCTGGTTCATATACGTAGATATACTGTGGACAGTAATGAAGTGAAAAAAATTAACATCAYCTATTTTGATTACCACAAAAGTAAGGGTTTAATATATCCACTAAATAAAGAGAAGCGGAGCCTATATTCCTTATATATTCTGAAGATTAAAAAGCCACAAAAAAAAACAAACAAACCAACCCCCAATCTACCCAAACCTACAGATATAAAAATAAAGTATTTTCTATGTTTTCAAAGGCATTATCTTACTGTATTTGCAGTATCATACACCATTAATATTTGCAAAAAAAGCAATACTATCATTTAAGTTGTAGTCTACATAGTAGATGCTGTACCACCAGCATGTTTAAAAGTCCAAGTGCAATATTATAAACCACACAAACACAGAATAATTTAGTATAAGAAAGCATCTAATCCCTTTGCCATTATTTCTCTGAGCTTTTCTTCTGAAAATATTAGTGGATATTTTAGACAAGCAATAAATACACTACAAAGCAGCACCTGCAAAAAGAAACTGCAAATTAATATTTGTATTAATAGCAAAATAGCATCTAGTTATGAAGCTATKAAAATAAACAACTGATTACTAGAATCTTTTAAAGTACTGCAAAATAGAGGCATTTTCTTTATCCCTTCCATTTCATTCAGTTCTGAACAGTATTATTKCATGTATCAGCATATTTCCATTGCTAGACTTCTAAGTACTGGGTTCAGGATAGTAGAGTATGTGGCATTTCTTTAGGAATTCCTACTAAGAATTTAATTGTTTTTAATGTGCATTAAAAAAAAGAATGTATATAAGACTGAATAATCTTATTCACTTTAATGAAAAATGGAATTTAAAGCAAGTTTAATACTGTGAGGTGAGGAGTATTTTGAATGAGAAGCTAGGTAAAAATTGATCTAGCAACAAATATTGACAACAAAATGCAGCTTAAAAATATTTGCTTTTCAGGATTGTTTTATCATACAACTTTACATTATCTTTTAGTAACAATGCACAATAACCAATGAACCATTTTTCTCATTTGCCCTTTAGCTATCTTCAGCTAAAGGACATGAATCATTTACTTTTGGACTTCGAGCTCACATACACCAAGAACATCCAAAGTATWCTAAAATATATGGGCAAATTGCATTTATTTAAGTGAATATTTAATGGGAACTTAAACAAAAAGTTCTTGTGCCTGGTAAAAATGTCAAAACATGGCATGCAATAGTACTTTCCATTCAACATGTGGCCTGTTGCTGTTATTAAATTAATGTGGAGCTTGTGTTTGAATCCTTTTCAGGAAGCATGGTGGGGGAACAAAAAAAAGAGGAAGGCTCTAAATCAAACCCATGCTGTGGATAAGGAGCAAAAGCCATGCACGACATAGAGGCAAAAAAAGACACCGTATCAAATGGGGCCTTGCTCTGCAGAGGCACAGAGCAGGGCAGGCAGGTAGAGGGAACAGCTCGAGATGCCTTCCACACTCTAATCAGGATACTGTGCAGAAACAGAATCAGACAATAATGCAGATTGGGAGAGATCTCTGAAGGCAGCTGAGCAGAAGTTGTTGGGATGCCCCATTATCAAAAGCTTTCAAAGTCAGGCTGGAAGGCCCTTGGAGCAAGCTGATGAAGTAAAAGAAAGGTGTCCTTGCCCATAGCAGGGTGGTTGCACTAAAWGTTCTTTGAAGGTTCCTTCCAACACAAACTGTTCTGAGCTTCCATGAAACTAAGTCAAGACCAATATGAAAAGGTGAAGACAAAATGAAAGACCCTTGTCCTCAGTTTAGACAACTGAATATTTACAACACTAATCAACACACTGATTCCAGCCTTAGCATCTTTTCAATCTTCTTAACAGGAATGTAATTTGCAAGGTGGGGTTGACTATGTCAAAAATGCTATAAACGCATCACTTATCATTGYAATTCATCATATGTAATATTTTAAATAATAAACAGCCAGTTAAATGGCTTCTATCATAAATTTTCCTATGGGCAGATTCCCAAAGTCATTCCCAACATTGGTCARCTACTCCCTCTGCTGGATTAAACCATTATGTCGGCCATATTTTAAGTACTGTTTGCCCCTTTTCCCTCCTCTTTCAGACAACTTCTCCTTTGGATGTCCTGAAAGATCCCCAACACAAGAAAGATAACCTATCCAGCAATATAATGGAATACAATGACTGTGTTTAACATCTGAGAATGTTAATTGCTCAAATAAAGAAGGAATTTTAAGACTTGGTCATGCAATCCTCACTCAAGTACTCTGCAGTGATGCTTGGACTAGGTGTAAAACTGGAAAAAAAAAAGTCAATTATGCCAAGCAATTAGGTCTGTACAAGTTTGGCTATTTCTATTAGAATTCTGCAAGTCACTCAGCAATCTGAAAGACTCCATCATCATTGTTTTTGCCCATTCTTCTTAATACCACTTTACCCTTTATGGCAAAACTAATTTGGGTCACAGGGCAGAAAAATCTCAGACCAGATCTTCAYCCATATTTAATTGTAACATTGTAACAGTGGAAGTTGTCACAYACAGACTGTTTGCAAGATTACAGTTTGTCTGAATATTGTTTAAGAGTAAATCTGGATGAAAACAGACCGAAATCAGACAGGAAGGAAATTCTCAGATGCAGCAGGGAATCCTAAATTTTTTGGACAAGATAACTGGGGCYCCAACTGGTTTGGACCATGTCCAAACCACAACCTCATAAAAAGACTTAAGCAAATGGCTATTTTAGAACTCTATATCCTTAATTTTGAGACTATGTGTATAAATGTTCAAAGGTCTCATCTTAGCTTTGATGTTCCTTAATAAAAGGACCAGTATCATCTCATTTATCTTCACACCAAGCATACTGTAACTTCATAAGGAAATTAAAATATAACAAAATTAAATAAGAAATATGGCTAGATATCACCAAGCAACAACCTGTAAGAAACAAGAAAATAAAGGGTAATTTTGACTGGTTCTTTTAAAAGAATCTTCCTTTTATCTTATCCTTAATTCTTGCCCTTTTAGTTCATTAACTTAATGCCACTGCTGCTATAAACCTGTTATAGCYATAATGCTATAACTTTTGCTTGGAAATGCAGATATGAGCTATTTTTTAAGTGCTGAATCAGAAATACACCTGGTGCAGATACATCTTATATTTTGTTTTTCTGTGCTTAGAAAGCAAAGCATGATCTAGAGACAGACTCTCAGACGTACCCAGTCTACATGGCAGCACTACTCTATAATTATTCTAATTGGCTCAAGATCCCTTTATTAATATTTCCATGGAAATACTGGCTGTAATAGCTGATTGCAAATGGAGTCTATTTAGGYAGCTTAAATACATCAGGATATATCTTAAACTTGCATTTATGCACTGTGCCTTCTTTTGTTTGAAGAAAACTGAAAAACAGCTGCTGCAGAGTTGGTAACAGGCAGAGGGGAGCATGACAAATAGGCAGGAAACTATAGAAACACAGAGCATCACCTTACAAATTCCAAGGGCAAACCTACCAACCTTGTTTCCCCCACAGTCCTTCATGCTGGGCCAGTTTTTCTCTCYGACATTTTATGGAAGTCTGTTTACTCCTGTGCCAACAGCAATACCTCATCCACCAGTGAGGAACCATGATCCTGTGCCATCCTTACAGGCCAATAGAAAATATGGATTGCACCCACTGCACTCATGAGGAAGGAATTATCCAGCTGGAAYCTAGAGATGCTTCTGTAATTAAAATCGAAGAACATAAACATATCAGGGAAAGTGACAATGCTGTTCATCGGGCTCCTTCATGTCACTCCTCGTTTTAACATGGATAATAGAGCAGAATTGCTTTGCTCCATCTTGTTTCTGTTCTTAACGTTTTCATAAATCGTTTGAAACATGCCAGGGGCAAAACGAGCAGAACWAAATCATGGCCCAGGTGAGCAGAGAGCAGTGGGAGGGATGTGAGATGCCATGGCCAGCGCTGAGGGGCACAACGAGCCGGGGCCAGGGCTCTTCTAGGAGCATGGGAGGGAGGCTGACGGCTCCTGCCACAGATGTTACCGGGGAACTCTGCTATTCCACCGGCTCCAGTGGGATCAGGCTACCAACCACCTGGACACTGAGGGGGCGGCGGAGGCCAGACCGGCGGTGATGGCTGCTTCCCGACTGCAGGAATGATGTGCCCCCGCCAGGGGCTGCCGCCAGGGGCTGCCATGGTGCAGGACCGCCCCTCCCACCAGCGAGCCGCCTTGCCGAGCGGGCAGCCTGTTACGGTGCGCGGTGCGGGCCAGGCCGGCCCGGGAGCCTGGGTGATCCCTTCCTGTAAAACAGAAACTGCATCGCATGGTTGACTCACAGCGGCGAGGCCTCTCCCGCGCCCCGCACACCGAGCCGTGAGCCCGGCATCCGTGTGCCACCGCGGGCAGAGCCACGGCCACCGCGCCCGCTGCCCGAGTGAAGCGCTAAGCCGCGGTCGAGCCACGCCGGATGGAGCGGCGGCTTCCGCGGGCCACGCAGCCGCGGCCGGGGCGATGCGGGAGCCGCGGGGCGCGGCGGTGAGGGCGGCGGCCCTGCTGCTCGGGGCCGGGGCCTGCTACTGCCTGTGGCGGCTGGCGGCGGGCGGGCGGCGGGGACAGCGCGCAGGGGCCGCTCAGGGCCCGCCGGCAGGTGAGAGCAGGGCCGGGCAGGGCAGGGCAGGGCCTCGCCCCTCCGGTGTGCGGTGCGGCCGGAACACACTCCGCGGGGCCGGGGCAGCCCTGCTCCCTGCTACAGGCGTGCCACAGTCCTGCGTACCGGCCCTCCACTGCCAGGCGGCGATTTGGGGCCCTCTGGGCCGTGGATTATTTTAAAAAAGCCTTATTTTTATTATTTTTTTCCACAAGTCCCCTAAAGCGTGCGTCCGATCAGGGTGTTTACTTTTGCTATTGCAGTTATTAGTGTTCCCCCTATAATTCAAAGGTAAACTAAGTGTTTCGGCGAGGATGAAAAACGATTTTGTTTTTGAAGTGAGCTCTTGGATAATCATCATTAACTTTGACCTATTTTTTTTTTTAACCCCAAAGGATACTATGCTGTTTGCCTGGTGAGATGTTGGCAGCAAAGCTATGGAATTTAAAGCCCTGGTTAGCTTCTCAGAGGTCATCTCGAGTCATCTATGACTAGTCCAGCAGTCATAGATTGGGTCTTCTGGCTCTTCAGCTGGCTAAATAATTCTGCCTCCAACGTGGCTGAAAACAGCCTTTGATGGCATTTGTGTCACCCTTTTATGAAAGCCAGTTACTCCATAACATTATCCTGACTCAGAAGCAGCCTCCCTCAGTTCACATGGTGCCACGATTAGCAGCATTCTTAGCATTGTGGCTGTTACWTTGTCAAAGGACCTCAGGGAACTAGCAAAGTGTCATGATAATTTCTGGAAGTAGTAGTCTGTAAGTTTTGTGTCCTACAGTGCCCAGACAGATTTTTGTATTTCATTTCAGGGGACACGAAAAAGAACCTCAAACCAGTTTGGTGAATATTCCTAATAATTTTGAAGAGGAAATTTGCTACTGGTTAAYCAGGGAGTAATGCACTTCAAACTCTGTGTTCTTTTTATTCTCTACTTTGAAAAGAGGTCATTATTAGAGGACTCAGGAAAAGGATGGAAATCTTAGTGTTGTAAAACAGTCTTTTTACCATGACATGATGGTTGRGCACAAACTTAGAACAACATGTTCTACAACTGAGAGCTAAATTTCAGTTTTGTAAAAAACATTAAGTAGCGACTAAGTGAAATGTCTCAAACCTGGTGTCAAGTATTTAATTTTTAAATGTTGACAGACAGCAGTCCTCCTGTGTCAACCCATACCATGGATGTGGATGCTCTACAGAAACTTATTCATTTGCTCCAGGCCACAGATGATCCATTAATTCAAGAGCAAGCTTTAATCACTCTCAGCAACAGTGCTGCCTTCTCTGTAAATCAAGTGAGTATTGTTCTGTATAAAACAACAATGTCCAATGCCAGCCAGCCAGAGGAGAGCTGCTGTTTTGCTAGAGAGCGACACTGGGCTGAAAGCTAGGATAGATTGTGTTCTAAAATCTGTTTAATATYTTGCCTTAATTTCTGCTAGCCCTAATAATATAATTCAGCAGCTTTGTAGAATTTAGCGAATCATGTTTGGACCATCTTAAGTCCGTACAGAGTCCTATATTTTAAAAGTGCTGTAAATACTTTTGTTGCTTACAATTATGTTAATGTACTGTTAATGAAAAGGTTGAATTGTAGGTTAAATACTTTCTGGTTCAGATGTAAAATTTAGTGAGATACATTTTTTTATCCCTCACAAAGTTGTATGCTGTTTGCAATAGTAGCAATTTGCAATGGTAGCAATTTGCAATTGTATACAATTTGCAATAGTAGCAATTTTCCAGCTCCAGGTATCTCCAAATCAATTAGACATAGGATGCAAAAAAACTTGGAAGTGGATGCAGATTTTCATGCCTTTTTAACAGTTTAACCTCCAAAGTCCCACCCTTTTTATTTTGTGCTTTTTGTTACTTACGACAGCTGTCTATTCTGGTTTCTCAAAACTGCTTTCTTAATATAACTCTCATAGAATAGGATGGAATTGGAGCCCATTGACACATTTTTAATTTTTTGAAAAACAGATTTTTTCAAAGAGAGTTAGTTACAGTCTAAATGAGAAAGACTAAAATAGTAATAAAACCAAATGTAATGGAAAAAGTTTGAGAACCTCTACTATTACAATATAAAGCTGCATCTTGAAATTCTGTCCTGTTCAGTCAGGACTTTTAGGTACTGTGACCTGGCTCAGCTGTTCTATAAATTCATTATACAGTAATTTTCTTTTATTCTTTATAATCTAAAATGCTTTAAGCATTCTTTGGAGACCACATTTTGAAAGAAAAGGTGTTGTGCCATTGTCAAATAACAGCAATTAATACTTTGTTCCTAAGTAGGACCCTTAGTTTCAGTGGAAGCAATGAAGCTGTATCTGTWAACAATTTTCTTTAAACAAAGCAGTCTATCCTGGAATTCTTAATTCACATATTTCATTTTCATTCAAATGAAACTTTGAGGGAATGCWTCAGCATTCAAATTGAATTTTTAAAAATCTTATTTAATATCTTCTATGTTTCAGGATATAATCCGAAATTTGGATGGTCTTTCTGTTATTGGAAGGATGCTCTCCAATTGCATTCCCAAAGTTCAAGAAAAAGCACTAAATGCACTTAATAATTTGAGTATGAATGTTAAAAATCAGGAAGAGATACAGGTAAGTTTCTTAATGGAAAAAATCAAAATAACTGAGGCAAAGAGATAGTACAGGACCTTCAGCATATTTCTTAAATACAAGTCAGGGTTCCAGAATGCTTTGATGTCACACATAGAAGTGAGCAGATCTGGATGACTGAAAGGATTACTTAGAAATGCATTGCTTCACTGGCAGTTACTTTTATTTTAAAAGACAGGAACCTATGCAGTTTGTGTTCAGCTTTCACAAAATACTATTGAGCAGAGAATGTGCTGCTAAGATTATAGCAAAATTACATGAGGTAAGATGATTTCCAAATGTGCCTAGAACATTAACAGTGGTTGTGTAATAGAATGAATTGCAGACTGAACTTGCCAGGACTCCTTATGTGAGGGAGAAGAATAAAGTAATTGAGTTCCTGGACTTGTATGAAACCAATTTTTCACATGATCTTTAAAGAATATTATGTATAAATGATAATAAGTTCCACTGGTAAATACAGTATATGCTACGGATGTGAAAGGACTAAACATCAAGAAAAAAATATATATCTGATTATTTAATAGATCAAGAAGTTTCCAAGGGGTGAGCTGGGACAGATTTGAYGACTAGCTACTATTACTAGCTACTTTTCAGTAGCTTGATAAAAAGGTATTGTGACTGTATGTGGTAGTTAGCAGCATCTTTAGCAAAGGGCAGTTTTTATTAAGTAGTGCTTGCCAATATTTGATAGACAAATAAGTAAAAATATAAACCCTTTGATAAGGGCAAAATATTTTTTTTTCATAGTTAGGACTCCAAGATTCAGTGTATACTGTCATCTAGAAGAAAATTTGGTAAAAATAGTTGTTAAAGTCCATTTTCATCACTGTTCCTACAGAGTGCTCCAGTAAATGGGCCACATGGTTGGGAGAAAGGCTTGTCCTTAGCTTGTTCTCAATATTTCAGATGTTAGTTATATATMCGTGGTTTTAAAAATAACTCCTATATGCAGCTGTGTCACTTCTGAGATGAARTCAAAGCAGTTTAAGTTTTCAGAGCAAGTTATGCTTCAGGAGGGTTAGGGAGCATAATGCTGTATGGTCTGCTTCTGTCACGTCAATAGAATGTTTGAAATATTCAAAACAAAAAAAGTACTTGTCTGCAAGAACCTTCATCATTCAGCCAGCAATGTTCAGGAAGTATTTATGTTACTGTAGCTAGGTCATTGATACTATTTTTGACAGAAATATTATTTTATCAAAAAATGTTCTTTTTCCTTCCYCCTTTTCCCAGGTATACATTACACAAGTCTGTAGGACTGTTGAGTCAGCTCCCCTGAACTCTGATGTGCAGCTGGCTGGACTCAGGCTGTTGACAAATATGTCTGTTACCAGTGACTACCACCAAAAGATGATAAACTCAATTCCCTGCTTTCTTCATTTGCTTTCAGAAGGAACTGAAAGGACACAGGTACTGGGTAGTATTATTGTTTCAAGCCATTTATGAAGCTGCTTTACTTGCCTCATTTCTTACTGGGTTTTCTAAAACTGTTTTGGCTGTGCTAAGAAAAATCAAATATTCATAAATAATACAGATTTTATGCASTGAAATACAGGTCTGTATTAGTTTCATAGTATAAATTCAGAGGAAGGGAAGGTAATCTTGGTAGTGGAACCATTGGGCTACATCTCTACCACAGCAGTGCAGGGTGCACTGTGCATTGTGATTGCACTGTGCCTTTATTATAGCAACTCCAGAATTCCCTTCTGCTCTAAACATTGCTACAGCATCACTGAGCAAGGAGAACCTGCATGGGAAAGGCTTCACTGATGGATGAATCTCAGTAGGGAAACAGGCAGCGATCCTAAGTTATGGACTTTTGTTCCCTTAGGTTTATGACACCTCTTGCAACCAGTGACTGCAACTGGATCGTGCATATTTGTGAATTATTGTAATATGGAAACAAGCTTCAGTTAGGGACCAAACTCAGCTTTTACTCTATTTCGTGATACTGTCATTGTACATGGTTGCACTATCAGATCAAAACCGGTTTTCCAAAACACATTTCCACTAAATATAACACACCTATTGTACTTCAGTACAGTAAGTAATATGGCCTTTTCCTAGTGTTTAAAGGCTAGCATCACAAGGTCCAAGAAAATACAAAGGTGTATTTGTGTATTCTTCTGATAATTTTAAATGTAGTGCCTCTTTGTATTTTAAAATATTCTGCATTTGGCCTACTGGGATTTGTTTATAGAATTTGCCTCATTTTGATATTTAAGTCCAACTGAATTTGCTTCTAACTTGTCTGTACCTTGGTTCTTCCTATACTGAAATACTTGAGATGTTAGTTAACCCATTCTGCCTTTCCTCCTCAAATCAACACTGACATTATTGATGCCCATTATAGCTGTACTTACTCTTTTGGAGCTTTTAATGAACTTGTACATTCTTCACTTCAGATTCAAGTCTTGAAAGTGCTTGTGAACTTATCTGCAAACCCCTCCATGACAATACATCTTCTCAGAGCTCAAGTAAGGTTCATGCTGCTTCATTTTGTTTTTAGCACATATACATGTGCTTTACATATTGCATGCACTAGAAGAATTTTAATGTAATAGAAATATATATGCAATTCCAGAGTAAATTCTAGACATTACCTGATTAAAATCAGTAGCTAAGTGCACATTCTTTTACAGGCTGGCTTTATTCCAGAGGGTAGTATAATACAGATACTGTACTTGGAGAGGATCAGGACCTATGCACTTGGAGAGAGTTGGTTGTACTTCCTATGTGCGATTCCAGCTAATCAATGATAACTTGCAGAAGCCTATTCTAACCTTCCCTTTCCACGAAAGGGATAATACCATGAACTTCAGTTAGTAATATGTATAAGGAATGCAAATCCACATTTCCAGACACACAGTCAGTAGACAGATTGAAAACCATTAAATAGAACTGGTACTGTAAGTGATCCTTCTCAGCTGTTTCTATAGCCATTATACTGTACCAAACCCAACCAAATTCCACTGAAATCCCCACCCCTTTACTCAAATGCAGCCATAAAACTCTTGTCTCTAAATGAACTTTCCCTGTGTATTTATTTATGTCTTCATGGAGTACTTTGTGTGACATTTGCTGTGCTGGCTTTGGCACACGGGTTTCGTTCAGTTCCATTTCCTCACACCAAAACAGAGYCAGGGGCTGGAATAGTACTGCATCCTCCTCCTCCTTCCCCAAAGTAACTTTCTTAAAACATGCAGTGGCCTTTATTTGTGAGCTGTCTGCTATGAGCAAAGCTATAGTCTAGATAATGTTGTCTTTTCATTATTCAGACAAGGTTAGGGTAGCTAAATATTCAGTTCTTTGCTAAAAGWGTATCTTTTTATCATTTATCAGATATGCTAACATAAAAACATTCAGGGCAAAATCAACATTTTTGAGAAGGAAAACACACCCTCTCTTCCAAATGGTAATTTTCCAGCCTGCCACATTTTGGCTATTGGAAATCTCTGAAAACAAAGTATTTATTAGCCTGTTGATGCAYAGGCCAGTCTTTCCTAAGAGAAAATGTATATACTGTGCAAGTTTCTGACGGCAGGTTGCAGCATACATGTTCTGAGATTTCATACAGTTTCTGGTTTAGATGATTTAGATGCATGTTTTCTAAAGTTAGATTTAGTTACACRTACTTACTGCTGGTGATTAAGTATGGAATATTTCTTCAATATCCTAGGTGCCATCATTGGTGTTACTTTTTGACAGCTGTATAAACAGAGATATTCTGGTTCGAGCCCTGGCATTTGCAGCAAACTTGAAAAAGAACATGAACAATGAAGAAGGCACCGTAAGTGAGGAGCAGTACAGTGAAGACTCAATTTTCTTTATACTCTGCAGGGATTCTGCCCCATTTGCTCAGAGACTGGCATCTTTGCTGCATCACCCTGATACAGAAGTGAAAGAACAAGTTGTAAGAATACTAACACAATAGTGTTGTTTTCTTAAAACTGACCTGATGGAAATACCTAATCTTGGCAATGCTATGCTAAAAAAGCYTGCAACAAGCAAACAATACAACAATGCAAATACAAAACCTGAATACTACCATTTTACTAGGCACAAATGAGTTACTAAAAAAGAGAATGCAGTGTATTTAATACAGAAAGCATATTATACTTTTTTACAAGCAAGAGAAAAGCAATAGCTTAGTTATTACTGATAAATCACTTCACAGTTGGTACATTTATGCAATGGGGGCAAATAGTTTAAAACATGAAAACGTTCATACAAAGAATGAACATTTTAAATAGATGAGTGAAGTGAGTCAAAATACTCTCAATGTCAAAGATTTTTTTGCTTTAGGTATTTACAGCTGTTGAACAAATACCTCTTTAGAGCTGTRCATTAAAGAGTTAGCAATTGGAGATTAGTTATTTATATTTTATTAATCTATGAAGTGGGTACAGACAAATCTCACAAAATATTAAATAAAAACAATACCAAACTATCATTGGTTTCCTACAGAATTAGTYTTTTCAATGTAAACTGCATATTAAAGTCACCCAGCCTAGGTTTTCTCATCTTACCTACATGAAATTTATTTTAAAAAACCACTCTTGTATGCTTACTATATCCATTCTATATAGCAAAACTGCAGTGCAGTTAACCACTGCACTGTCTGTCATAATCATGAAAGGTTTCTATACTTGAACAAAAATTGAAAGGATTGTATATTACTTTAAAATAGTCACTTTAGGGAAAGCAGGCGTATTAAAAAAAATCATTAGGAGTCAAARATTATCTGCAACTGCAATTCAGCATTCTCATTCTTATTAAAAAAGTCTACAAGAATAATATCATACACATTTTTACAAAAGCTTCCTATTCTGTAGCAGGCCTTGAGCTTGCTTTCCTTGGAGAACTTTACTCTTTTCTTTCTGCAACTGGAGCATCATTGGAATAAGTGCTTCTGCTGAATTAGCCCCCATAAAGCTTTAGTCATCCATCCAGCATCAATTCAAAATGAAATGAAATCCATGCAAACATCACTGTAAAAGAACCTGAACAGAGTTTCATTAATGAACAGAAAACATATTGGAAAATACTTCTAAATCCAGATTATTAAAAAATGTCCACTACAGAGAAACTAAAAAAGCTGTCAGATGAAAATGCTACAAGTTTTCCACTTTGTACCATTTTTAAGATAACTGTATTACCTAAACTGTCACCAGGTACTTAATCTTTTTAATTTAGTGTACTCACACTGCTCTTAATAAAACATCACTATCTTCTCTTTTTATAATGCAATAGATACTTATTTTCAGGTCACTTTGCAAAYAGCTAAAACTGCAAGAAAAAGATGACCTTGAAACTGTGACATACCCATGCCCTGATCAATACAGGGGTAAAGCCACATGTATCTAATTTATCCATGTAGGTAGTTTTAACTCACCAGAAATACAATTAGGGCAGAAATAGAAGTTGGCATGATTCCCAGTCAGAACCTTGACAATTGCTGCATTGTCAGTGAACTTCTCTTTCTCCTTCCCACTGCWCCTGAAACACTGTACAGTTTGTAATAAACAAGTTACATTACAATCACTTAATGTTTTGCAACTTTTTGTAGATTTAATGTTTTCTGCTACTGAATTTGACTAAGAAAAATAAAGGCTAGGCCAGACACTAAGAATTTACCCACTCTCCTCTCCTGACAAGACATTAGGACCAGCCTGGTCTAGGTGTAGCTGATACATAGTTTCTTAGGCTCAGCAACGGAGGTGTCTAGATGTCCATTCCCATGTTCTCCAACCTAAAAATAAGKTTTTAAAATATCATCTTTTTGATAGAGTTGGTGTCTTATCCTTTGCTTCAACAGCTGACAGAAACAAGTGACCTTTTCTAAAAATAYGTGAGAACTTGCTACAGTGTTGTCTCAGTTTTCTTCTGGTCTAGAAAGAGCTATTTTTAAATGCCTTTCTTCATAGAACAATGTTGTTGAGATGTTTGAAGTCATGCAAGACTTTCCAGTGTGCCTTCATGCAAAGAGGTCTCTTTTTTATCACCTATCCCACATCTTTTGTGGAATCTCATCACCACCAAGCAAAAGAAGTCACCATTCTATGTACAAATGCTGTGAATTAATAGATTCAAAACAAAACATGTCATTACTGTCATTTAGTCTCTGACCAGTGTAAGTCATTATTTCTCTGCTCTGTGGCTGCTTGTCTAGGTATTCTGCATTGTTGTTTCACTCTAACGTGTATAATTTTCCAGAATAATCTACTGATGATTTTAAAAACAGGAAAAAGAAAACAACCCACAACAAAACCAACCTTAATTTTAGGCTTGTCCTTTAAAGTACTCAAAACTTCTTGCAGATTGGTGTCCTCTCCAAAATTACATGTATAATATACATTGTATCACCCAAGTCGTGATTGAAGCTGTTGCATAAATAAAAAGCTCAACAGAGACTTCATCTGAAATAMCCTCAACACTGAATAACAGGCTCGTTTTAAACCAGTTTTGAACAAATTCTGGTGAATATATCTAGATGATAATAGAACTACCTTTTCAAATAAAAAAAAAATCCTGACATTTGTCAAATATAAACCCCAACAAAGGAAAGTAAGTAGCTTTTTCTTATGTATTATCTCTGTTCCAGAGCCCATCMTCACAATGAACTTTGACTAACTTTCCCTCTTTGTGCTGTTCTTTGTTGATATGAAAATCTTTAACACTTAGAATATTTATATTGGGAAGTCCTAAAAGAGATAACTATCTACAGTTAAAAGATTACTTCAGTTGTTCCTACTATGAAATCTCTGGTTTCAAWTAAGTGSCAGAAGTTGATGCCTTCAAATAATGTCTTTTTTAATATATCTATTTATCTTCATGGGATATGAAAATAAAATATACAGCAAGAGCAAAAAAAMCAAAACCAAAACCAACCCACATATCCCATAGGCCAAAAGAAATCATAAACAAAACATGATTTTCCAATRGATTATAAAGAATAACAAACCTTTTTATTGGCAACAATAGTCTTTAATTCTGTAAATTAGCAAGACAATTTGATACAGATATATTTGGCCAAGTTTTATAACACCAAACGATGTCATAATCTCTCATTCAACTTTAAAATTACAGGGAAGCTATAAGAAAAAATACCACAGCCCTTGTCTAAGACTTTCCACTTAAAAAAAAATAAAGAAAACATGAAAAAAAGAGAAAAGGTACTTAGAAAAATGCTGAGTTAATGCAAGGACATGCAACATTAAGGGATTCTTCCACTTCATGTGCTGCAATTGACACATTCATACCTAACTTAAAAACACAGACAAAACAACGCAAGTGTGTAGATACTCTGGCCAGCAGTTAGTTTTATACATCCACGATGCAACATTAAATTCTCTCTCTYTTTAAAAGGCACATTTCTTTGATCATTGTAAAATTCAGTTTTTGTRGTTCATTAATACATGAAGAGTAAAACAATTTTACTATGCTTGTGCTTTAACAACACAGCTGTATTGGAAGACATACAGCAAAGCTATCAAGGTACAGAGCATGACATGAAGACTAACAAGTGGGAGATGACAGTATAACAGTGATTAATTTAAGTCAGCCATTAATGCTAAGAATATGTTCTGTGCTGAGGTTATTATTGCTGCTGCAGGTAAGATGAAGAGTTTAAAAATATTTTTTTTATCAGTGGTGTACATTAGAGTTGAAACCGCAAGTTATTCCCAAACAACACTTAATATATAGACCACTTTTAGATCTCTCTAAATTTAGAAACAATATAACTAGTAAACTTTGTCATGAAAWCGGTATGCAAGCTTTAGTTCTGAAACTCACAAACCTGGCATCTAGAAATCCAGTCTAAAAAAATCTATCCTGTAAGTACATCATGTTAGCATTGTAATATTAATTACAAGTTCAGATCGAACAGGGCTTACAAGTAACTGACACTGTTTCAGTTTTCAAAACGGTCGTTTGTATTTAAATTCCGTGATTCTCCATGGCGTAAGAGAAAGAAGTCATCTTTTTTCAATCCATATCTTTCAAGAGCTTCATTCAATTTAACTGGAGGTTCCAAGTAATACTGAAAAAAATTAGAATAATGTGAGGCAAAAGATACCAGTGCAACATTTTTTGAAGGGGAAAAAAAAATAAAAAAAAAAAATCACTGCTCAAAAAATGGGAAGGAGAAGGGTATTTGTCAAACTGTTTGGGTTCATTTTAAGTTTTTGAAAGATAAGAAGGCTGATTTACAGCTGCAGAATAACTAGCAAGGCACGACTTGTCAGCCCAAGTTCGGTCGCCTTCAAGGCAGCAATAGATCCCTTCAGAGGAAGTGCTGCCCGCCAGCAGCTGGCGCTTTCCCTCGCTCAGTAAAGCCAAGCTCACTGCGGTCCTGTCTGAACAATCAGCTGTCAGTGCGGCTCCCCTCAAGTTACCGCGGTGTATCTGTTACATTTCAGAAAAGGCATTATCAGGGWGTAATCATCTATTTTTTGTGCTCCTAAATACATAGTAACATTTGTACCGTGGGCACTAGGAACAGTTTATTGGAAACAATGGGTACAGGAAATGTTCTATCCGAGCACCCTATGTTCCATCCATGCCCTGTCAAGGASGTGCACGATGAGCTGAGAGGGAGCATAGCCAGGACAGAAGATGACAGATCATGTGACCACTCTATCAGGAATGAATTAGGAGATAAAGTGGTGCAATATACGCAAAGACAAAGTTGAAAAACAACTACCAGTCTCAAAGCAAATGTAGATATTTCCAATTCAATCCATTTTTAGTTGCTATGGAAGGTGTACAGGTAACCTTCTTATTAGATCTGTAGACTTGAGGGGGTYTGAGGTGAATAAAAACATTTAAAAACTACCACAAACTCGAATAACTCAATATTTTTCATATCCTTTCTGTTTTTAACTTYATTAACTATTAAAAATACTGTTCATATATTTACTAGACAGATGTAATTAATAAATACTGTACTGACTYACAGGCATGCAGTTCTTACTGTCTCCAAGTGATGAGTTTGCTTTTATTACTGCATATGTGTCTTACTTTCCTTAGCATTTGGATATCAGAAACATCCCCTACATTTGTTTCAATAACCATGGAAATATTTTATGTAATCAGTTTTGAAAAGCTAAGCATTGTTTTGAACAGCATTATATAGAGTAATAACTTTTCATTCATACAAAGTYCACATTTTAAGTTTACATTTACAGATATGTAGGTTAAGTACACGAGCAAAGCTTCACTAGTGACAGTCTAGTCCTTGGAAATCTGAACTCATGTTTAGTGTTGGAATTTACCTCATTTGCTAAAGCAAAGGTCCCCCAATGAATTGCTACAGACTTCTTTGCTTGAACATCAATATGGATTCGTACGGCTTCTTCAGGATCCACATGCTGGTGTTTCATAAACCACCTACCAAAACAAAGCACCATTTTTTTTGTGTCACCTAATTAAGTGCAATATTTATTCTTTACTTCTATGCAAAGAATGAAAAGAAATATATGGTCACCTAATCAAAAACATCATGAACATGTTGACCTAGACAACATACAGAACAGTCAAAATCAAGAAACTAACATATACCAACATACCCATGAAACAGCAGTTTATGTATTGCACTCCCTTTTCAAAGGATTTTTTCTTATCTATATTTTCAACAGTATAAGGACATATTACTGGTGCCTTGAGGCATTAAGGCCAAAACTTTAAATCCATCCCTGAAAACATTTTGTGCTAGCAGTACACACCACAAACTTTGTGCTTCAGAAACAGCCCAAATGAACAGGCAAAATAGAAGTGATAACTCAGCAGCTCTTAAAAGAGACCAGATTTTTACCATGCTATTTGGATTCCTACCCTCCTTTCACAGCCCATACATGCTTTCCTTCCAGCATTATATCAGTGCTAACATCTAAAAGTTTTCTCTAAAAGGAGAAAAATTTGCTCCCTTGAGTAGACAAATCTTTCATACTTTATAACCAAGTCATTTTTGTATCAAGATAAGTTGCAAAACCAGGGTAAAGACTGAAGCAAGAGAAAAACACAGCAAATGACATACACCGGAATGGGCTGGATTAAATGATGCTGTTTCAGAAAAAAAGGCACAGAGTAATTCCAGATATTTACTCCACATTTTTGAGGGAAGAAAGACTGCTGATTCATCCTTGCTATGTTAAAGTCTGAAGAAAAAAACTGTCCGAAAACATCACATATATTTATATATATATATATATCCCCCTTAATAAAGTACATGTACAGTTTTAACTTCTGGGTGTGTTTTTTGTCATCAGTATATAATTTCATTTATGTATTTTGCTCAAACCATGATTTTCATACCTTGGCTCATAAGCTCCAATGGGGATGGCTGCAAGATCAAAAGGTCCAAATCTTTTACCTATTTGTTCAAAAGCAAAACAATATCCAGTATCTCCTGCAAAGAAAAACCTATTCCAAGGTCCCAAGACAGACCAGCTGCCCCAGAGAACCTTGTTATCATCTGTCACAGTCCTTTTGCACCAATGTTGGGAAGGGGTGAAGACAAAAGTTACTGCGTCATGACCAGGGACACAGTTCTCTTCCCACCAGTCCAGTTCAATGACATTCTCACAACCACATCTCTGCATCCACTGCAGGAGCCCCAGGGGCACAAACCAGCGCAGTTCGCTCCCGAAGCGTTCGTTCAGACTYGCCACGGTGTTGTAGTCCAGGTGATCGTAGTGGGTGTGGCTGATCAACACCGCATCTATTTTGGGGAGCTGTGCTACTGTGCACGGTGGCCCTCGGAAGCGCTTGGGACCCAGCAGCTGAATAGGGGACGCTCTCTGGCTGAAGATTGGGTCAGTGAGAAATACAAGTTCATCCATTTCCACCATAACTGTGGCATGTCCMAGCCACGTGACTCGCATACCAGCTCCTGTCTTCCCAGCTTCTTCKGGCATTTGAACAAAGTAAGGTTGTAACACTGGAAGTTCTTTATCGAGTTCCTGGCAAAAAAAAAGAACATAAAATGCATGAGAGATTTCAGAATGTACTTGGCCATGGAACAAAAACTGCATGCAAGGCACAAATCAATACATTCAAGACTTGTACTTTGTTTATGTCTTTCTGCAAWCTGAGAACTGCAGCACACAAGAGATGCCTTTTTAATGTCTGGGRGCATTGCAATGAAAGCACTGCAAGGCACTAAAAGCATTCCAGGAAGAGATTCCTCCACCTGAAAAAGGATATAGATATATATATATATATACACACACACACATGATGTTACTTAAATACTCATACAACTGAATGATGCATCCTCTAAGTCCCAGCACAAGTAAGTCACAGATGAAAGAAAATGTCACGTTCCCCAGCAGCACTCCATGAAAGGTCTGTTAGCTTTTATCAGACCCTCTCTCTCACCTCATTACATCAAGAAGCAGCACACAAAGGTTAACCTCGCCTGCTAATGTTAGCTATTACAATTCTGCCTTCCCATCCTGCCAATAATTCAATGAACAATCATAAAACACAAAATCATTTTTAAAGTAAACCTTTAGATACTTAGATATGCTTCTTCTGGTGTTTTATTGAAGCCTKTAAGCTAATTAAAGTTTAATTATTACTGAATAAATCACTGTACTGATCTCCATGTATTGCAAGATGCAGTCCCAAGAATGACTTGAAATCAACCTAAATCCATTCTTCTGTGTAACAAAGCTATGAAAAGGTTCCCCCATCTTTTCTCTTATTCCTGCTTGACTAGTTATGCAGTCCCCACTCAAGTATGACTGGTCAGAGAACTGACCTGGTTGAACATTAATTTGACTCTCTGYATCTTCAAGCCATGGAGGCCATGGCTGTATATTACCTACTGAAACTCACCATCCAACCATCACTCATTCTCTCATTTTGAGAGTTATGCTCTTCACTACAGTTTGGTTGAGATGCTTATGCRGAAGTTTTATTTGTAATAAATAAGAGCTTTCCTATTAAAAAAAAAATCAAACAACCAAGGAGTAGTCTCAGCATTCCTGATCATCTCCAGCTTGGCCACAATGTGGCAAAGGCTCTCCTCCCAAAYGCTTCTGGTCTGAACTCCTCACATTGCTTTAGAAGAATTTTCATGTGCTAGGGCAGCTTCTGCAGACTCCTGATACTCCTCTCCTTGGTAATCACAAATGTTGCAGCATTTCTGGTTCCAAGTCAAGTTCTGCCTGCCATGGTTGCTACTCTCATTCTTTAAGCCTAGCACAGATTAGCACTATCAGYGAGTTTATACAGAGCTGACCTTGTGCTCCTTTAAAAGACCATCTGATGCTGTGACAATTTAGGACTCCAGGAGTTGCCTTGCTAAACCAGTACTGACAGCTTCAGGGAAGTTACTTTCTTCACAATATTTTATTGATTTGGAAGGCATATGTTGGGAAAAACAAAGCACACACATCTCCATCCCCCTGCAATTCCACTGTAAATAATAAAGTATTCATGAAACTGTTTTTTCTGAGAGCTAATGGACAAGCCATGTCTACTGAAAAAGTTTTTTTACTGTCCCCAGGAATAAGAAAKACATAACCTTCTATAAAGCTGAATRTAAGTTTAGTACAATACRACTCCTTAATTCATATAAGAAAAGCAGGAATCTTAGACTGAGATAAATGGCTGCTGCTCCAAGAAAGAAGTATCATTTTCTTATCTCTATTCCATTCTAAGTAGATGGGAACAACATGGCCACAGAAATCTGAACCACAGAGAGTGTTATACTGTTACACTTTAATTAAAAAAAATGCAGAAAACTAACATAACACTCAAAAATGGAAATTAGGACAAACCAAMAAATTACACATGGTTAAGTCAACAAATCAGATTATATCAAAGAAATAAAACTCAGAAGTGGAATTTAATAATTAATTGTCATAATGCAATTTAGGTCAGTTCRTACATTTTTTATGGAAAATGTTCTTTTAAACATTTTTAGAGTTAGACTGGTTTTAAAGTTGGACTACAAATTTTCTCAGAACTCAATTCACTTATTTTTACTGTCATTTGGCAAAAATTAGTTTTTGAAATTAGCATCATGCAATATTAATAAGCAATACTAAATGGATAGGGAACTGGCTAATTGGCAGAAGAGAACAATTAGTTCTTAAGTGGGACTCTAACATATTCTACCAAGTTTTAACTGGGATGGAGTTAATTTTCTTCCCAGTAGCTCCTATGTTGCTATGTTTTGGATTAGTGCTGAAAACAGGGCTGACAGCAGCCTGATGTTTTAGCTGTTGCTGAACAGGGCTGACATAGCATCACAGCCAGTTGACTGGGGCACACAAGAAGCTGGGAGGGACACAGTGGGGCAGCAGACCCAAACTCATCAGATATCCCATACCATATGACCTTGCACCCAGCAATAAAATCCAGGGGAAGGAGGAGGTGGAGGATATTCAGAGTGAATGGTGTTTGTCTTCCCAAGTAACTGTTACATGGGATGMAGCCCTGCTTTCCTGGGGATGGCTGAACACCTGCCTGCCCCTGGAAAGAGAATAAATTTCTTACTCAGCTTGTGCAAGCAGTTTTTGCTTTACCTATTGAACTGTCTTTATCTCAACCCACAAGTTATCTGTTTTTTCCCCTTTCAATTCCACTGTGGTGCAAGTGGTGGGGCATGGAAGCAAGCAGCTGACTGGGACTTGGCTGCCTAAAGTCACAACACATCTGCACTATTAATAAAGGCTTTACAGGGATGTCACTGGGATTGATGCTATTAAGTATTTTGAATAGTTAATTTAAAGGTAGAACTAATCACTATAAAAGGCATTTGAAAAAGTCACACAGACAGGAAGACTGATAAATAAAACGGAGCACAGTTTGAACAACTGCTATCCTGACCTATTTAAATTAAATTCTGTGAACAAAAGTTCAAGACAAACCAAGAGCACAAAGGCAGCGTAACTTGTAGGTCTCGTACAGAGCTTGTGCTTTCCAGGTTTGTGACATACAGGCCTCTGATCCAAATCAATGATTCCTCAGAGAAYGAGATCAGAAATCAGGCATGTTGTTGAACTATCACAGTGAATCACACCAAATATTACTTCTCAGTGCATGGGATTTGTGTTTGGGTTTGTTAGGGGGATTTTTAGTATTTTAAGAGCACCCACAATCACCTTTTAAAGCAATTAACAACACTGAACTTAGAGGATTTCAAGCTAAAACACAAGTTCTATAAGGAGTATACTTCACATGAAATACTTAAAACTCACACAACAGGATAAAGCAACATMATGAATGAAATACATAATCTTATGGAACGTTTATCCAGCTATAATACATTTTGTTCTCTGTCAAACTAACCAGAAACATATTTAAACTAGAAGAATTGAAAGAGATTTTTTTTAATATGACAATTATGTCAAATCAGCTACCAACAGAAACAAAATGTGCTTAATACTGTCTAGTCTTCATTACACAAGTAATAAAAAAATTCCTCCTGCTGTGTCCCTTCCCCCTCTCCGTTCTYTCCCTCCTAATGCAAAGCAAGAAGAAACACATGACAGGCTTTGGTAACACTAGCTGATTAGCTTAGGATTTTTGGCGCTTAGTGCATACTGGAATACCACAGGATTTTACAGAAATGAGAACAATCTAAACTGCTGATCCAACAATTAATAATTAAAGATCCTCCAACAGCACTGCACAAAGTTACTAATAAAGCCTGTAACGAAAATATGAGAAGTCTATGCATTCTGGATAATGATTTAAGGTCATTGTGAAGGCATGATTATAATACATATAGCTTTTCCACAGTRAAGCACCAGCATTTATCCTGGATAATATGCTCTTTTTTACATACGCAAAGCACTTGGTACAGATAAACTGAACCTGCCCAGCATAGCAGGGCATCACCAGGTACACTCAATGTGAAAACTGAAGTAGGATTCTGCTCAAAGAACATGCCATCTAGCAGTGATAAATAAAGTATGGTGCCCTTAGTTTGAATTTTAAAAAAGCTCAGATGCACTTTACAGGCTGATTTAAATGTGGAACAAAACTGGTTGGAACAAGCATCAAAATGGCTGAGGACTTCAGAAGTGCATTTCATTGATCCCTATCTAGGTTTTCCCCTTTCTGATTTACTTCACTGAACTCCTGAATAATTGCAGACACTTAATTAAAAAAATTTCATAGGCAGACAATAAAATTAGTCCAAAATTAATCCCATCTGTCTCAGAGAGACAGCTTTTCAACTGGTGCCTTGTAGATTTCTTTGTGATCATCCTTTATTGTAGGGACAAACTGTAAATTAAAGGGGAGGGCTGCAGTTCTGCACTCCATCAGAATGCTGTATGTTCTACACTCCACAGTACACCTCAGCATTGCCTTCAAGGGACTTCAGTCACTACCCAGGTTTCTGACTGGCTCTGGGAAGAGAGAGTGCCTGCGTTACACATATCAAATAGGGCAGCAGTCAAAGGCAACTGAAAATACCCAGGCGTGAATTTCATGAAAATGTGGCCCGCACAGTCTAGAAAGCTATATACCCTGAGGAAACTGTTGTCACCAAAAGGAAGACACCAAATTTTAAAAAGTAAATTACTAGAAGGGATCTCAAGCCTGATGTAGGTTTGCTGTGTTTCTTTCTGAAGTCAAATTATGTGTTATTATTATTATTGAACAATTACAGCGAAGATTATTTGTTCCTTAAACGTTCCCAAAACTCTGATCATCATGCATTAATGCGTACATGGCTTTCCTGTCCATAAAACTGATAAAATTTCTYCCTTCACAGATAATTCAAGTAAGACAAAATTGAAAGCTCATTACTAAATACTGACTGTGAGATTTATAGCTTATGCATAGCTTCTTGCATGCTTAAAAGCATTAACACTTGCTTGTTAACAAATGCTGTCCTTGGTTGTGCACCCTTCAGCACAGCTTTTCTGAAGTACAGTTAACACATCAGAAACAGGCTGAGAAGTAATCCTGTCAAAACTTAGGCTTCTTCATGTTTCCTRTGACCATAAAGATAACCCGTGGTTAAGGGTTATCCATTTCCAGTATCCATTACTTTTCATGGAAAAGAAGCTTCCCTTATCTCCTTCTTTATATACAATACTTGACAAAAGCATTTCACCAAGAACAAATGACGGTGTTACCCAGTAAAGTATTTCAGTACAAATATTTGCTCAGGTTAGTTTTGACATAAGCAATTTTTTCTCCTGGTTACTGAAACAGAGAAAACAGATTTGTAAATACTTTCATAAGTAGGTGACAGAAAATTTTATTACATTTTCATGAAAGAGATGCAACAATGTAATAAATTGCAGTCTGGGAAAAAAGGCAAAATTTTAAAAAAATTAATATGTTGCAGCTATCTCATGCAACACAAATTAAGTTAATATTMTGCTTCGTAAGGCAATACCTATTAAAAAGGAATGGCTGAGAYTGGTTTATGACTGAGCTAGGGGCCATTTTTGTTGTTTTTATAAATATAAAATGAGCTGAATAAATCACAGGGTGTGGAACTAAGAAGGAGACAAAAATTAAAGAAATTTATTAACCCACCTTTTGAAAATAACAAAATTATATCAAATCAGAAAAGCAAGACTTAGAAAAATCTCTAGGAGATGCATAATGAGTATTAGTTAGAAACTGTCCTATTTTATTGATTAGAGCAGGGGTAAAAGCAGTCTGAATCACAAAAGGAAAATATGGAAGTATTTACCTGCTTTGATCGTGGCACATTGCTGTTATCTTTTTCCATGAAGGACCATTTCAAAATATTTGGTAATGTTGGTGATTTCCATGTTGGCCACGGGTTGACAAATCTCCCATCTTTGCCTCTCTTTGATTTAGTTACATCCTCTTCTAACCTGTAGTCCAGCCTGAAGCTTTTCCTGAAGGTCCTGGAAGAATCATTGSCCCCGGAACCTCGACCCAAATTCTGACGTTTCTTCACCGCTTCTTTAGGGTACTGGTTGCACACAGTTGAAGGCTGCTCTTCATCTGTATTCTTATCCATAACTTTTACAGGAGAACTAAATAAAATTTTAAATTAATCAATATTTTCTTGGACTAGCATCAACATTCATAAGACTGAATGTACTCACACACACACGAAACAAGATTGCCTTTCTTGTTTTATGATCTACTGTATTTTTTAATCAACAAAATACGCTTTTGAAACAGTTGCTATTACACAAAAGCCTTCAAAAACATGCTGTGGCAAGCAGACACGAGGGCTCTTTGTAGTTCAGGCTGAATTTTACTCCCTGGAATGCACAGCTTCAGATACTAACACTATTATCTACCAACTGCAAAAGTGAGGGGGAAGGGTTCCTTAATTTACATTTTGGTAGAATAGTCATTCTTCCTGAAACTTATGACATTTAGTGCCTAATGTAACATGATCCTGCAAATCTGTCCAAGACACACTGGAACTATACCATACCTTAGGATTTGCCTGTATAGTGACTTTATTTTGTAGTAAAAGCGGCAGTCTCGTGTAGCATTACTAACACTTTACTTATACCAACACATGCAGGAAAYTCAGAACACAGATATTTGGTACTGTTTCCTATTTTGTCTGAAACAAAGGAAAAGTTTATTACTATGAAGGTAACTGTAACTGTTTCAAACACAATTTTGATACACATTTAACTGAACTGACTGATGGAAGACCACAGGAAATTTAAACATCTCAAATCACAGCTGCAATGTTTGCTCTTAATTCCACTGTGAAATAAAAAAAAAGTGAGAAAATGAGAAAAACTTATTTCTATGAAGTCACAATGCTGGTACATTTCTTAGAAAACTATGAACTCAGTAGTCAGTCTCTTATTYTAAACTGCATTTAAGTGTTGCAGTTTACAAATATAATCTTATTATATCCAAGGTAGAAAAACCGAATATCCCTATTTTATTTTAAAAATTGCTGAAGCAATTCAMTTGAAGTGAAATGCTTCAATTTCTATATTTATTTTCAATTGAAATGTTGCAATTTGCTGTCCTGTCAGCTTTTCAAAAGAAATAATTAGTGTTTTAAAGAGTGCACAACTTTCTGGCATTTACAAACTCTACCTGATAAAAACTASATGATTAGCAATGAACAGACAACACTATTTAAAGCTCAGGTGCAGGAATAATTTTTAATAACAAATAGGCTAAAACATGTGGTGGTAGAGTTTTCCACAGGACAAGCTTCACTATCTACTGTTTCACTAAATTTTAACTGTATGCTCAGAAGCACTGGRCTGATGTAACCAAGCCAGTCGATGCAAAAAAACATTATCAGGGAACAGAATTAAAACTCACAGTTTTCTTAGAAATCACACAAGTCACTGTGCTCCCCATAAGCTCATAATTACAGGGGGAATTAAATATATTGTTCACTGCAATATTGCAGCTAAGATATTACACACATGTAAGTACCACCAASTGAACTTAAATGCATTTGCTGAGGATGCTCCAAATTCAAATGCAAAACCTATTTCTGCTATTTCAGCAGCAACTGATTACTAAACACCAAGTATGGAATTAGTTGCAAAGAATACAACAATTTGCAAATATTGTGAAAATTTCTTAACAAAATAACCATTATTTTGYCATACAGTAAAGATAAAATATTAAGACATCAAAATTCATTTCTAAAAAAAAAGGCATGAACAATCACAAAACATGGCTGATAGATTTTCTCTTATACCCCTGGTTACAATCTTATTTTAAGTAATTGATTTGTACTCTAGTTTCCCTGCAGTTTTACTGAAACCACTCCACTTAAGTATTTCCTATTTAGCATTAGGATACCACATCTGCATCCTAATTTAAACTTAAATGTTGGTAAATCTAGGCTTTTTTCCTCTATTCCACCAAAGATTTACTGGAATCAGCCTTCAAGGAAACACTCAACTTGCTCTATAGCATTTTAAGCAGACATAAAATGGTAACACAAAGAATCGGTGCCACAAAAAGGCAGACAGAATACCCCAAAAACGGTACTGGTAYTTTACCTGTTACTTAAGAGAGTTTGGTTTGTTTTTTGCTTTTTTTTTTGCATTTGTCAAAGAGCATTTTCAATGCCAAGTYAGTTTTTAATTTAGCAAAACACGCAGACACAGCATAAAGTATTTATTCTTTTAGAAAGCATCATGAAAACAAATCAAAAAAAGTTTAATCTTAGGTACTTAATTCCAGGAAATTCTTCTGTTAACATCTCAGATGTCTGAATTTTTAATATATATAACCACTGCATTTATTGCTCCTACAAGACATTTTGTATTAGAGACTGAGGTGCCTAAAGTTTCRTTTTTAAGCTTCTGTTTATYGATATTCATCTGCAAAATAGGTGAATTCCACTTTTGTTTAAACCTTCATATAAACCTTTGATCTTATTCCTAAGGTACAAACCTCTAGGGGAAGCAGGGATCGACTACGCTGATTAAACAAAGACAATGCCAAAGCATTTAAGGCACTGCAGGTATCTATCTGTCTGCCAACATATTTTCCACATGATGCACATACATTACTTTCATTAGTATTCCATAAGCAACTGCAGGGATAAACTACCTCAGTGCTCAAAGAATACTTTAAACCTTACACATGCATAAGAAAGGGACATGTTTACAAACAAGTAACTTAAAGTATTCCTGATGAACTCTAGCTTCCTTTGAAGTATCCATCTTGGCACATAATTTCTGTTTCATTTAAACTGATTAAATATATCCTACAATATTAATGACAGAGTTTTCTTACATAGAAAAAGAGGAAGATAATGATTTCTTGAAAGCCAGAAAACATTAGCCTAAAATAAAATTCAACCAATTACTAGTCCACTAGTTACACTTTTGCAAAAGAAAGTTTCTACAGATAAAGAGATTTGGCAGTTATATTTTAAATAATAGAAAATGCCCAATCAGAAATCAGTTGATTTTTCTGCCCGCTTTCCTAAATTCTTCCCACCCAAAAATAATAGTTTGGCACTTGAAAATCTAATTTAAGCATTTGAATGGCAGCAAAAATTACTAGCTCTAGAGATATGAAAATCAAASTGGAGTAGTTGTGTTCACTTAGGAGGGACAGAGGGAAGGGATCACATCCCTGGTGAATATTTATTGTTACGTAAAGTTCTACAAGAAATCCTTTTATAGTTTTAAACATAAACTACTATTCTACTTAAAATCATTAAACTGATTTCCTGGCAAATGGAACCCATCCTTCAGGATGAGGTTAYTTACCCCCACCAAAGGGGAAGTGGATTGACACTGTTTGCAAGAGTGGCTCAGGAGAGACACAAGGCAACCACTCTCCCTCTCTGTCCTCCGAGATTCTTTGCCCTTTCAACTGAATTCAGAAGCAGAAATGGACCATGACATACAAACGCCTAAAGACCATTAGTCATGCCAAATTCACAAGGCCAGAAGGTGTTCTAGATAGAGGAGAAGAACACCACTGACTGATGAGTAAGACAAAGTCTGACATGAATCAAAATGCAGAGCTCACATAACTGGTTTTCCAACATCAAATACTAAAGTACCCCTAGTAATTCACAAGGGAAGAGAGAAGTTGTAGATCTGGCAAGACATGGCATGGAAAATTCATGTTTTACATCCCACTAAACTGGCTYACACGTGTAAAGAGGATATAGCCCTCAGGACAACAGGTTTTAGGTAAATGGTTTATTTTAACATTGGTTATATAAATGAAAATTTGGATACCAATATTTTGGCTTTGAGCCTTTTGTTTATTTAGGAAAATTAAAAATTTAACTAAATATTTTCATACTCTCTGTTCCAAGAGGTTTGAAACAGGATACAACAACATCACAAGAAGTATTCTGCCATTGTAATTTTTCTTTTTAAATGGTCCTTTAAACATAGAAGAGCTTCAAGCCTAATTAGTTGAACATTGGCATAAAATCCACTGTCTTCACCTTTTCCACCCAGTCTCTAACATCCGCTGCTCTGTAAGTGAAATGGATGCAGCTCCCCCCACTAAYCACAGAGTCATGCACAACATGCTACTAAGCATTAAGTCTGCCAAAACAGACTCATCCTTTTCTACACAGAAACGTGGTCCTTATTTAAGCCAGAAAGCGTAAGAGTTACTATGAAGCTATGCTTTACTGGAATATAGCATCCCCAAAACTTTACAATTGCCTGGTAAACATTCCAGGCAYAAAGCTTCCCACAAACCTTCAATTTTTCTGCTTCTTTGAAGTAAAGAGTTTGGTTCATTTTTAATCACTGTCTCTCTGTGTAAACCACATCCAGAATTAGGTTGCACTAATGATCAYCTAGAAGGGACAGCACACAATTCCCAGCAAACTCACACCATTGTAGCCTTACCAAAACAAGACTGTGAGCTTTCTTCTTATACAGTTACACAACTCTGAAGTTTTCTTTCATAATACATATTTTTAATGACGGCAAAAAACATGCGTTTTGGCTTGAAATAAAGCAAAAATTGTTTCTGTTAGAAGGAAAGGTATTTGCAAATGCTAGGGAGCATGTAATTGGCTCCCCCAAGCTTTACTATCAAATGACTGCCAGCTAAGTTTTGGCTCTGCTTTTATTTTTCCTCCAGGYTTGAAATTGGCTGCTTTAATTACTGAACAGTTTGAGACTGGAAAATTCTGAATGCATTTAAACTTTTATTGTGCAGTAMTTCAAGTTGTTCCATCTTACCACTGTAGGCTTACCAGAGAAAGAACCYGAGCCTTCTGTGAACTGTATACTGCTACACATCTCGAAGATTTCTTTCACTACTTTTATTTTTATCACTGCAACAGCAGTTGCACGAGCAATTATTCTAGATTGCTCTTGGTATTASGATTTCACACAAAGATCTCTCAAGCTTGCATTAGCTGATCTGTAAATACTTCTATTTGAAATTTCACATTTAAAATCCCTAGGAACAACAGGTGTTGCCAAAATTTCCACTGAGCAGATCTGTAACTATCCTGATTCTACACTGACCCTGTGTACTGTTCAAGAAAGATTAATAACAGAGTTGAKAACAGAAAAAGGAATAGCTAGCTGTC